AAGAGTCTTTGTTACTTTTGTTATTTTTGATATTTTAATTAGTTAGTTAAATTATTAGTTACTTTAATTAAATAATTTGTAAATTAATTAATTAGTATAGTTATTTGGAATACTATACCTAATTGAAACACTATTATCTTATTCTTTTCCCTTCTCAAACTATAATAATTTCAGTAGAAATTGGCATAGAACTTAGATATTATTTTCATATTTTTCTTATATTTGTTTAATTATCTCTTCCAACTCTTATTCATGTTTATTAGCTAATTACCCTATCAGTGAAAAATGTGTAACAATACTTTTTATAAGTTTTGATTATTCTTAATCACATTATCAAAATGCAAATCAAATTAATATTTCAAGAATATTTTGAAGATAATAGCAAAGATTTTCAGTTAAATTATTATAATAGAATAATAAATTATTTACCAATAAAATATAATTATAAATTTATTATTATCTTTGCTATTGCTAAGAAATTATATCAGCTAAAAAATAAAGATAATCAAGAATATAAAATTTTTCATAATAATCATAAAGCATTATATTAAATGAAATATATAATATTATTATAACTAATTGAAAAAATTGAATTTGTATTAAAAATAAATAAAATACTATTAGATATTAATATAAATAAAAATTTAAATACAGAATAAATTAGTACAGAAAACTAATATGAAGTCTAATGCACTCAAAATTGTAGAAATAATTGAAAAAATGATAAATAGATTGTATAATAACTCTGTTAAAGAATATTATACAAGTTTATTATCTCAAGTTGAATTATGAAGAATTGGTCTCATTACAGATTTATAGTAATAAGAATTTAAAACATAAAAATTGATAAGAATCAAAACTAATGTACTATACTTATTGAATTAGCTTATAATACATGAAGTGATAAAGGTGATAATAGATTTATACTAATCAAATTCCAACAAAAATGCAATACAAATAAATATTCATATACTTGATGCAGTTGAAGATACTATCACAATGATTATAATGAAGAGTTAGAAAATGTGACTTTATTCAAGAAAAAAAATAAAATATATTTTTTAATTAACTAAAATTATTTTAGTTCACATTTTTATTAATTAAAATACTTATTCTAATCATTAAAAATGATAATAATTTAACTGTATTTCTAAAAATTAATATATATTGGTAAAAATTGAGCAAATTTATTTTAGCATGTCTTTTATTTTTTAGTCAGTATCTATTATCAACATTCTCCAAATTGAAAGCTAGCAACTATTATAGTTGTTATTGAATTTTAATAATAAAAAAAGCTATTATATTCATCAGATATTACTTAATAAATTACATCTCGCACAACTGACAGACACTCATAAATTATTAAATTTTTTGGTGATCTTTAACTATTAACTATTAACATTCATAAATTCAGTATAGACATTCACAAAAATAATATAATTATTAATAATATAATATTTGATTTAATTTGTAAACTTTTTATTTTTTTAAAAAAAATAAAGAACTAATTTTTATAATAGATTATTTTGAATTTTGTAAAAAAATAACAAGAATAAGTATTAGTATATAGTATATAACTTTAATGAACAAATACTCTTAAATTTATATTAATATTGCACATTCAAATTGGATGTTATTTTCTGTGGATTCTATACATATATATATATAGTGATATATTGATTCAATTCAATTCAGTTAAACTGAACCAAACCAAACCAAACTGATCAAACTGATTCATATATAATTAGTTTATGTATAACTAATATTTATGCATAATCAGTTTATGTATAACTAATTTAAAATAATTATATATATATATAACTGTATTAAATAATTTGTATAATAATCACAATATTATAATAATTAAAATATCAATATTAATAAATTGTTTTTTATTTATAAAATTAATATTGAACTATAAATGCTATTACATGTATAAAAATATTAAAATACTATATATTAAAAACTAATTTTAATTTAAAATATAAATTCTAATTTTTACTAACACAATTTTTGATCCAACTTTTAGCACAAAGAATAGCTCTTGCTGTCTTAGGTAACAAATAATTTCTGATATGAATAGAGGTATTGCTAGCGACTGGAAAAGCTTGTTCAGAAGCAACACTTATTGCTTGTATATATAAATAGTTGTGAGCAATAGTACTTAATATTAAATATTCTTTTTCATGTGTTAATTACCAATTTAATGGAGCAACATTTTCATTAAGTGATAAAGTCAAATAATATTTCAACTCAGGTATTCTAGAATATAACTGAGATATTTGTTGAAGTGATTGTATGTAATTATATTAAAATTAAGCAAAAAAATAATAATTTAAAGATTAAAAAGAATTGTTAATATTTATTGTAGAAAGAAGTTTTGTTTGATAAATAGTATATATATATATTATCTGAGTAATTGTCTTATTGATTATTGTTACAAGTTTGTTCACTAATCGTTAAATTAGCTTACAAAACCTGAACCTGGGTTGGGAGAGAGTAATAGA